AGACTTTGTCTATGGCGGAGGAGGAGGTTGGGGCTGTCGTGGCGCGATGAGGACGAGGGGGAGACCACGTCGCGGAATTTTGAGCTGATTCTTCTCTCTTTCTTTTCTTCTCTATTTTTTTTCCTCCGTGACGTGCGGATGTGAAGTAGCGTGGGTTTGACAGTTTTCAAGCTCTCACCGCACACCGCGTTGGACTTTTCCCCGGACGTGGAAAGGAGCCCCGGGGGAGATACGCTATCTCCGCCACGTGCGAGGCGTGGAAATCGCGCGCGCGTTTCGTACGACGGGGGGCACGCACCGCCGTCCTCCTCCTTCGACGCCGTCGGCGGATGGTCGGTGGTGCTGTGATGATAATTGGCCCCCGTATAGACTTTACCCGCATGCACGAACGACTTCGCGCTTGTGCTGTTCGGGGAGGAGAGACGAGTGAGGGGAGGAAGCGAAGCGAAGCGAAAGCACGAGGGAAACCTGGGCGAGATCGAGAGAGCGAACTTAGCTGGAATGGAAAATTAACAAATTCCTGGGGATCTGTCCGATGGATTATGTATGCCACGTTTGGTAAATTTGGAGGGGTATCGTCAATCGTGGTGCCCTGTTCTTGCCTGAATCTCGCGGTTCCTTTCCACTTTTGTCTTTGTTTCAAAAGAGGGAAGGTAGGATTCTCTGACGTTTCGTCGATCTTCTTCCAAATCCTACTCTTCTTCCCAAGTTTGGAAAAAAAAAAAAAAATCCCCCAAGGCTGCAGCTGACTGTTGAGGGTTCATTATGGACAGAGTCTTGGTCAAGCAGATACTTCGCTTGCATTTTATAAATAGGTGAAATCGAGATCTGATGATATAATACGGGAGCTTCCAATTTTGGGATGCTCGTCAGAAGTGCGTTCCATTGATTCGATATCGTCGAAGCCAGGAAAGAGAATTTAAGGTTGAAGCGAGCATGGCAAGAAGAAAACATTCTTGGAATTCCTCTCGAGGGATCTTGAATTAGCGCCGAGCTAACTATACCGTAAAGTCGTGGATAAAATGTATATGATGGTTTTTGTTATTATTTTTTTTCTGATTAAGTATTGAAACAGTAATGGGAGATATTCATCGAGGGTATGCATTATATAAATTAAATGGACCAACCATGATATTTCGCTCTGGATTTCAATGCGACTATGTTCTGCTCGCTTTGCTGCTAGCTCAACTTGATGACGGCCTACTATACTCCCGAGCGGTTTTCCCCATCCGATGGAGGGATCTTGATCCTACCGAGGCTGGAAATCGGACTCCGGAGCCGGCTCACACGGGAGGGTGCTCATATCCGGAGAGCATTCGGTCGGATCTTGGCGACTGATCAGCCCATCCCAAGAAGCCCCTTTCGAACGTTAGGGTGCAGCGCTTACAGCATAGTGCTCCCGTGGGGATAATCCAACATGGGGATCGGGTGAACTCGTATGTCGAACGAACCGTGGTAAGAGCGGCTCTCCGGGGTGCCTCCCTATTTTCTTCACGTCATCACGAATAATGAAATCGAAATATTTGTGCATTTCTTCGATAGTTCTTTGATAGTAAAAAGCATCAGAATACTCAACTTCAAGTTTTGCCAACCTCAGATGTGAAAACAAAAATTGCCGCAAGGCATATATCAATTCTAATAGCTCTTCTAGAACATGTATCCTCCTCCTAGCATCGCCATCAGTAATCCCTTGATGGTGTGCACTGATTACGGTTTTCAAAATATAAGGAAACCCAAGATTTTACCTGAAATTGCCAGAACTTGGCAAAGAGTAGTTGCTAGAAAATGACGAAGGAATTTATACAAGGGATAGATCTCAAGAAGAATCGAAAGAAAGAGAACTTAGGCTACGTTTGGTCGTATGGATTTCTAGTCAGAATATGATTGGATAGGATAGGATTTGAAATCCAAGGGATTTGCTGTATTCTATCTACTGTTTGGCGAATCACGGAAATAAAGCCGGATATTTTCACATCTTACCATGTTCATTATTTGCTATGAACGTCATATTAATATAAATGAACCCAAGAATTGCATAAGCGGAGATTATAAAAATCTCTCTCACGACACTCTTACCTATTTCATTTTTATTTGCTTATTTTTTTATTATTTTTGCCTCTCTTTTTTAATTATTTTGTTTTTTATTTCTTTTTTCCCCTTCCATCATTCTCTAATAAAATTTTATTAAATAGTAAGCTATACTAATATACCTAAAATATATAATAAATATAAATACATTAGTATTGATTTTTATATGAAATTTATATCACAAGATATAAATAAATTTTGAATATCTAAAAAAATAAGAATAAATAAAAAACGAAATTATTGTTATTTTGAATTTTTTATATTAAAATTCATTTATTATTTATATTCAAATATTATTTTAATTTTATTAATTTAACAAGTTTTTTATTCGATAAAATTAACTTTTATATTATGAATATTAGAAATCCTATCCACATTTATTCCACTTCTCCCATGGGATAATTTTATCTGGACTATATCCCTCTTATATCCGACTTTATTCTATCTTAAGCAGACACCAAATACGGGATAGGATAAAATTTATTCTATCTTGAATTTTATCCCAAATGTAGCCTTAGAGAATACAAGAAACCCCCCTTGATTTCTAGATGATCTGATTTGAGATGAGAAGAGAGGAAAACGTTGGTGTTGACGGTGGCTCAAGGATAATGTAAAATATGAATTTTCAAAGTCAAAAAGGATAAAAGGCAAAAAAAAAATGTGAACAGGGATGCTCAGCTACTTTTCATGATCGAGAGCTCGCGCAAAACGCGGAGAAAGAAAGAAAAAGAAAGAAAAAAAGAAGAAGAAGAAGAAGAAAGGAAAAGAGGGATTACGTATACACGAAACGGGCACCTTATTGAGCCGAATTTATTACTTATTGCGCAACGCCAGGTAAGTGCTTGCACTCTTCATTCATCCAATCGGATAAATTTTCGACATTAGGGCTTAACTTTTAAGTTTTGTGAAATTCGAGTCACGAAATTCGATTTTTGAGTTGTTGAGTTTTAGGATTTCATGAAAATTGTGGATTATGACATTGTGGAACTATGGGGTTTGACAGGAGTCGTTTTAAAGCAACGGTTTAGTCGGAGTGAAAATTTTAGAGTTTCGTGTACGAGTTTCGCATCTCTTTGAGTGAGAAACTTGTTGTCACGTGGGAGTCATCTTATTAGTGTTTAATCTTAGTATAGCCGTTTCATAGTTAAAGTAATGTTTTACTTAGTTTTAACATCCATTCTCATTTGATTGTTAAAATTACGAAATCGTTGGCTCGTGTAGGTTTTTAGGCATTCCAGGTAAGTGATACTCATATCTTTTGTGGTTTTATAAAACTCATATCTTGAAATGATAGAATATATATTATGAGTTAAAGAGGGATCACATGTTTGATATTTCTTTGAAGAGGAAAAATGATGTCTTTGGCATATTTGATGCATAACTTCGGATCGGGCATTTGCTACTTTATTTGTTATTTGAAATGTTTAAGAAGTATTAATGAAATGAATTGCAAAAGGTAATCTGGTGAATAAGTTGAGTTACGAAAGATTGTATGCTTTGTTTTTGGCTAATGCCCAAATTTACATTGATGATATCCTCCTCTACAATCCTGATGAGGATTCTCATTATAAACTGCTAGGCTAATTTATGATATTGATTCTGGATTTAGTTTTGTGGATTATGGAGGATGTTGTTATGACTTTGTATTGATGCTCAGTGTTTCTGTGAATCGGGGTTTGTGGATATGCATACTAGTTTATGATATTCTTGTGGGTCAATCACCGACAATATAGGTGACAACCCTAACAAGGGAGGGACCTTGGTCGTCTTATCACGGCGAGTCATGTGTGATCATAGTTAGATATCTGAATACGAGATTGGCCAATGGAATGGACCATTGGCGTGTGATTTTGATAAAATTGATTAATGAGCTGGACCATTGATATTTGTTTTAATATTACTATGAAATGGATATTTCTGCCATAAATATAGCTATGTTGTAGCATATATATAACTCATTTTTTTCTTATAAATTTGTTGTATCTTGAAATTTGATGTAATGAGTTATGTTTTTGTATATTAAACATGTATAGTGGATACTCGATCTACTTAGAAAAGATATGCATTACTCACTAGGTTGTGGTTGCTCATTCCATTCATCTTTCATGTTTTTCAAGTTCATCACTTAGTGGCCGATAGTACGAGAGTGCTATCATTGGGACTTTTGGGAGTTGGACTTTGAGTATGGTTTAAGAGAGTTGTGTATATAGTTGTTGATAGTTTATTGGGTTGGCTGAGTTCTAAGTTGTGCATGTTCTTTTTAGTGATCACAGAAACTCTAATGTCATAACAAACTTACTGATTTATTATATATATATATTTCAATAACCGGCTGTTAATTGTGTTTGAGGTTGCATCTTTCAGGTGTAAGGGCGGCCATGTCATCCACCATTTTTGATGATTTTGCGGTGTGACAGATAATCATAATGGTATGGACAGGGACGGGAACATGGACGTTGACACATAAAGGCAACTTGTGTGTGTGGGAGATGCTGGTGCTGCCCAAGCACCGATGAGGGCCAACAAACCCTTGTTGACCGTGGCTAAGGTTGCACGCCCTGGTTGTCGCCTAACTAGGGTTGCACCACCCTAGCCAGGTGACATCCGTGGGTCACCTATCCCTCAACTAGGGCCTTCTGTCTCATAGTCTTACTTCAAAAATTCACCACTACGTGAACTTCAAAAATTATGGAAAAAAGTACATGTTGTTCTATGTGCCGATATCTATAAATCGTGGAAGTTTAGATTGTATTGAATAATAAAAAGAAAAGTCAAAATGGATGAACCTCAGATATTTGAATTGAGCAAAAAAAAAATAAAAGTAAAATTCAATCAAGGCAACCAATTTGATACAAGTATCTAAGAACAATATGAATATATACGAGGTGGTAAAACCCGTCCGACAATGCCAGGGCCCATACTCAATCATACATAGGTTATGGATTGGGGCGGATCGAGAACCCACTTTTACCAAAAAGCAGTCCATCTTCTGAAACAAAACTGAGACAAGCCGAAGTGATGGAAAAAGCTCCACCCTTTCAGCTGCTTCCCGCTTCAATTCAAGCTCACGATCACACCTTTGGTTCGACTTCAATCCGTACTCGTCTCAGCCTTTGAAGTCGATTCGATCTCGGCTCGAAAAGGAAGGACGGCCTGCGGCGGATCCATGGATTCTTTCGACGCCGAAAGCTCCACCAAGGCCTCTGCTAAACACGGTAGAATGCTCGATGAATGCATTGTAACAGGTGGGGTGGAAAAAGACCCATTGTAACACGGTAGCAATTAGTCGATTCGATTCTTTTTGTCTTATCCCATTTTAGTAAAAGACCCCCCCACTCTCTGTGTGTTTTTCTTGTCATTAGAAAGACATTCCCCTCTTGTACACATTTGCTAGTAAAGCTTTCACTTTATTCCTTTTAGGGACGGCAAACTAATTGCTCGTAAAACTTGCAGAAGGGAAGACTTGTTTCCTTTGGTTGTCTGATTATGTTTCATCGACTCTGCAGAGGGCGTTGTTGCTGGAGGTACGGCTGGTGTTGTCGTTGAAGCAGCACTTTACCCAATTGACACCATTAAAACTAGACTTCAGGCAAGATTAAAACCTTATGTGCTCGACCAATCCTTTTGTTTGCCTGTCCTCCAATTGTCACACTGCACAAACTTCGAGTGTAAATTGGTAGTTGGGAGGCTGTAGCAACAAATAATGTTGTTTAGCTCTTATTGCTGCAACTCTAGTGACCGGAAGTTAATTTTCTTTTGATGAATATTGGGCTGTTTGCTACCACCGACCAAGCAGCATATGTTTATCTGGAATACTGCCTTCTATTGCCCTTTTTTCTCCTTATTTACTGTTGTATGACCAGACATTAAAGCAATGTTAGCTTCGGACATATACAATTCATTTTGTTTGAATACAGCTGTGTGCTTCAAGTTTCTTAAGTCTCGAAGCCTTTCTAAAAGAAACAGCTAGGATTTAAGCTGAAACCTTTTGAACGGATGGGAAGTTATAATTTAATCCCCTGTATGTTTGGCAAATCATATTTATGACCTCTTTGATCGAAAAATATATGCTTTGAAGCTGTCACTGCATGAAGTTTGTGATTCATCTTGTTTTGGAACATATATGAGCTAATTTTGTGCACCACAACCCCATTGTGTAATATATGTAGAGAATCTGGATATGCAAAATGTAACACTCAATTACTTAAAAGTTCGACATTTGGCAAATCGTAGGTGTTCTAGCCTGTAGAGTTTTATGGAAAATGAAGGTTGGATTGCAACTTTATACTTTATTTTATATCGTTGCATATCTTCTTTCACTTTCCTTCTTGAATTGGTCATTACTTTACCGAAATAGCTTAACTTTGGTTCTTTGCATTATATCGATTGGCTGCAAAAGACTCTGACGTTAATGCGGCTCATGGGGGTGGAAAAATCGTTTTGAAGAGCCTGTACTCTGGCCTGGCTGGAAATCTTGCTGGCGTTTTACTGTAAGTATTCATTGTTGTATAAGTGGCTTAGTTTATTCTTAGAGGAGCAAAGAGCAAATAGGTAGATTAGCTTTACACAAAGCTTGTTATGTGACTATTATCTCCTCTATCTTCTCATCATTTGGCTATGAAGTAATCGATGGTGAAAGCAACATTTTCCTTATCAAATTGAATTGACGGGCAATCCTGACCTTCTGAAACTGCATATCAAAGGAAAGAACAATCCTATAACAGAAGCTATAGGGAAAGGACCAGTATATCCACACTGAGAATCAGTAAAATTACATCACTGAGATGAAGATGATAGTTCTCTGTATAGTCAAATGTTGGAAAAGTTATGTTAAAAAATGCAATATTGCCCTTCTAAAACCGCAGAGAAATATTGGTTGCTAACCTGTAGGTACCCCTTTAGGAGCTAGGGTAAACAGCATGGCTTTTTTGCACTCGAAATCCCCTATATTAGCGTTCCTGAGTTGCACATATTGCTGAATCATGATGATATTTATTAGGGGAAGCAGATAGGGGGAAAATTTTAGTTTTTCAGTAACTTTCGTTCTTTATCCCTCAATTTTCGTCTCCTCCCTAGTTTCCAAACAAGACATTAGGCTTGACAAGGGATTGATCGCTCATAAAGGATTATGAAGAAAGCAGCCCACCCCACTACTGGGTTGAGCCTCATTATGTTTTTGCTGAAGTAATTATTCTCTTGCATTTGAGTGATTCACCTATATGGTCATGCCTCATAGACATGCAATCCTAGTTGAAAGCAAAAAGGCCAACTTTTGTGGTGTGACAATTTACTCATAAGAATTCTACAATAAATACAAAGAAGCAGATAAATACGGTCTTGAATTAGGTATCATACTTGTGCGATGAATCAAAGAGTGACAGATTCGTGCTTGAGCAAACATGCCAGTAAGATAATCTCACTTGGATCTTCAACTTCTTTGCCGCCTAAGAATCCTGTTAGCCAGAGGACTAGTAATATCAACACAAGGAGAACTACTGAAGAAGTATTTCACTCTTCATTGATTTGGAAGTGTTAAGGGTATTCACTAGGAAGTGGCGGTTGGAGAAATTATGTTATACGGAAAATCATAAGATACACATTGGACAACTGTCAATTGTTTTGGGAAGCTGAAAGATCAGATTGTTTATGTCATCTTGGTCCATGAACCAGTAAGATTTGTTCCATAAGAATTTGCCAAAATCATGGACTTGTGTTATCTTTCACCCAGAAAGGTTCAGGATAAGCCGACGTTGCAACGTGATGCACGTTTCAATTGCGATTCTGCTTTTCCGTCTCATTATCCAACCTAAAAGCAAATAGCCTCATCAGTGTTTTGTTCATTTCCTAAGCTTCATTGAAAATGTGAAAATGAGGAATTTCGAGTCTTCAATGAGTCGATGATAAAGATGAGTTAAAGATTACATGAAGTGATGCTGGTGAGAGTTTTTAAGAGGTCAACATCTATTAGTGTACTTTTGATGGGGGCACACCATAGACAATGCCTGAAATCAATAGATTTACACTTTCCAAACTGGGAACTTAGCAACTAGACATTCCCGAAACTTAGTTGGAGATATTAGGTTCTTCGGTCATATCAAATTGAGTTGAAACAAAAAAAGGAAATGGAGCGTTCTCCCGAAGAATATGGATTTTTCATGGACGAAATCGAGAATGCCACAAACCTTCGATCACAATTATTTTTTTTCTAAAAAGATGGATGAATTTATGTTGCACGCACTATACCGAAAAATTCAAAGTATGAAACTTCATGCAATTGAGAGTCACCCAAATGAAGCCACATCTTGGGTGCATTTGCTTTGGCTTTAGGGAAACGTCTTCAGGAAAAAATAAAGGCCTTTGGGCTAAATTGTTATTTTAAAGTGCATTAGGAAACAATTTTGGCTTAAATGTTGTTTGGTAAAATCACACTTCGGAAAGCATTTTTGTTTTTTTTGTTTTAAAAAAAAAAACACTCAAAACCAGTAAGGACTTAGCGGTCAGCGGAAGGCTAGCGAGCCTCTGGTGATACTTCGACGAGGCTAAATCTAGCTGCCAGCAGCCTCGCCTGAGGCCAGCCTGGGTAGGTGAAACCAGGCGACTGTCAACCTGGGTCACGCGATCCCATTTGTTGGTTGCCTGGGTTCACGCGACCCCCAGCATCCGTCACCTGGGTTCGCGTGACCCAGGCGACACCTGAGGTCGTAGGACCTTGGTTGCGACCTCAGGCCTCGTCAACTGGGGTCGCGCATCTAGCTCCTCCTATGCAAACCGTGGGGAAGATGAACGGTGCTAATGAATGGTGAATAGTGCCAAGTTGCATTTCGAGAATGATACTTTCCAAAGTACCTCCGGACTTGCCTTAGAATAAAGGGTTTTCGAAATGCAATTGCATTTCCTCAAAGTTCTCAAAAAAATTTGTCAAATGCCATTTTCATTTGCCCAAAGGCCTTTAGGACCCAAATCCCCTTGCAAATGCTAAACCAAATGAGGGCTTGTACTTACAACAACGTGTAAATATAACATCCTTCAGCGGTAGTCTTTTTCCCTGTATTTCCACCATATAATTCCTTTACACTATTGGCTAGAAAAAATGATGAACACATAATAATTACTGAACAAATCCGAGTCCTAAAAATCTGATAGGTGCTTTCTCTGTGAAGAATGGCCGCTGGTATCATCCTTGCTTGTGAAAGAAGCTGAAGAATCAACCCATGGACCTTCTATGGACATGCTTCCCGACATCTGGTGAGTGTCCTGAGAGAATGTCGAGACATTTGTTTGGCTATCATTAGCTAGCCTCTCGAAAGCTCTGAACCTAGGATATGGATTTGTTGCGGTGTGCTTGATTATCGGTGCTTGAATCGGGCTTGTTCCTTCGAGCATGCTCACCACAGATGACATTGGCGGCCTGAGAGTTGGTGAAGGATTGGTGCATAGTAGTGCCAGGTTTAGCATTCTCATCGCCTCTTCCTTGGAGTAATCTGAGCCGAGACGTGGATCCATGAGTTCAAGAACGTTCCCTTGCTCTTGTAACACATAGGCCTGTCGTCATGTACAAATAGAGATAGAAGTTTAGTCCGTTTATCTTGCTTTTAGAAACAGCAAATAGTTTTAGGAACAATTAAGCGGAATAGGTTACTGATAGATGGAATCTCATCATGTTCATGCATTCATGTTTGCCACCGCTGAGCATGCTCATGCATACATATCAATATGACAATTTTCTAAGCTTCTAACCCATCTTTTCTTTTTCTTTTTAGGGAGAAGTCCTTCAAAGAAATTATTCTTTCGTATATTTATTTACTCTGATCGAATTTGTCCCCATTAGCTTGTTCCATCATTTAATTGTGAAGTCAAATGCCATCATTCTACTTGCAAGTCCTCCAACCAAACTCGCAGAAAGTAGAGACAGACAGCTTGAAGTCCAATAAAAGCTTGGCTGCATAATTTCCATCAAACTTAAAGTCGCTATATGTTACCCAGTCAAGGAGATAAACAAATTCTTCCTTCGGCCTGTAATTTGTGTTGCTCTTTCCGCTGACAATTTCCAAAGCGACGACTCCAAAGCTGTAGACATCGGCTTTGTCTGTCAAGTAGCCCCTCATTGCATATTCAGGAGCCATATAACCTCTGAGGCAAGGCAAAATAGTAATGGTGAATACGGCCATAGAGCTAGGAGGACATTCAGGGAAAACATTACAGATAAGTAGCAATCAAAAGTTCATTAGATAAAGCTAATTGAAAG